TTTCTAAATCCACTACTTTTTACTTGTATTATAATTTCACGTGAATTGTGCTGGTCTCGTTACAGTGTCATTGGCCTCTATATCTCCCTGGTATTTGTGGTGGGACAATTTGTAAGGACGTTCACCAGTGGCATGCACCGACAGATCATGTTTGAAGAACTCCCTTACGTAGACAACATCCTCAAACTGTGTCTGAATGTCTACTTGGTGCGGGAGTGTCGGGAGTTTATGTTAGAGGAAGACCTTTATGCCAAACTTATATTTTTGTATCGCTCTCCAGAGACAATGATAAAATGGACCAAACTGAAGGAAAGCTAGTTCACAATGTTTGGGAAATGAATTCTTTCACTGGGCTTGTAGTTCTACTTTTTGGTTTTAGCTGAGAAGATCAGATTTTGACCTAAAAAAAATGAGGGGAAATTGCTGAATTGATAATTTACACATTTCAGTTAATAACTTTTGATAGTGTAGGGCGAAATTGAAAATCAGTCCAGCCATGGAGTGCTTAGGTTTATAGTGCTAGAATAGGAATCAATTTATTAATTATAAATGGTGATGCGCTCAAGATTTTTAAAACATGGATTAATAATGTTATGTGCAAGATAATGTTTTAACGGGGAGTGTAAATTTATCTCTGGGGGGGGTTTGATATATATTTATTGGGATGTCTGTTGTGGTTTTTAACTTGGTTGAATTACTAAAAGTACGCATTTACTGTTTGTCCCCACTGTTTGAATACATGAAGTAGCACTTTTTTTTCCATTTCTTAAGAGTTGTGTTGTAGCCGCACCTTGTAGATAGTTTCACATTGGGCTTTGTTTGTATTTTTTCACGTTATTGCCTTACCAAAAATAATGCATTAGTAAATAAAGGATGAACATTAAATGTTAAATCCTCCGCTTGCTGCATGAAATGGGTGATACACAATAAGATCTGCTTTTATGATATTAATTGAAAATTAAGTTATATTTATTGGGCAGCCGATTTTGATATAGATCAATGTTGTAGTTCATGTACTAACCTGGGGTTAGGACTTCAAACTGCTCAAAAATTGGTTTTGAAATAAAAAGCGCTTTGAAGCCAATTTGAAATATGTCAGTGTTTAGGGACAAAATATATGCATAAATTGCAGTAAAAATTTACTAAGTAGTTTTAAAGATATGTTAAAAAAATGTTTTGCTTGTTTGTTTATTGAATGTAGCTTTAATCATGAATGTCAATAAGTCCTTTACTGTAGCTTGCATATTTGTTCCAGATTGATATGTTTAGAAGGTAGCAATTCTATATCAGGTAAGGTCACTGGCAGAAATAGAACTTGTAGATTAACAGAAAAAAACTTACTTTAAAACTTAAAAAAATAATTACTGGATGAGTTTTCTTGCATCCCGTGTTGTACATTGGACATTTTATCAGGGGGATTTTTACAGTGTTATTGGTGATAAGGGTTTTTGTTTTGTTTTACAATATTTTAATTCTAGAATTACTTTTTTGTGGATAAATCAAATGTTTTGGATAATGTGGCCAAAACTGAAATTAATGAGACTAAGATCACATTCACAACGAGTTAAGCCAGGCTTTACAAATCCTGGGGACTAAATATGGTAGACGTACATGAAAGAAAAACCGCCTAATCATTTAATAGTCTCTCTACCTCTCACACGCCTCCCCACACATCGTCCCTGCGGGGGGACAGTCATTAAATCTCGGCTCCATCGGGACGACACATGGGGGGGCAAGTGAGAGGCAGAGAGACTATTAAAAGATTAGGCGGTTTTTCTTTCATGTACGCCCGCCATATTTAGTCCCCAGGATTTGTAAAGCCTGGCTCAACTCGTGAATGCGATCAAATTCTATAAAAAAAAAAAGCTGCTCAATTTTAGGACAGTAATATCAGAACTGAAATACTATAATTATTTTAAGTGGATTAACCGAGCTCATCGAGTTCAGCGTAGTGTTAACAAAGTACATTTCTCACATACACACAAGCTAGATAATGTGTTAGGAGGATGGGAGCAAGTTTGTCTTATTCATATTGTAACAAGCATCTGCACTATCTTGGTTTGTCGGTCAGTAATAAAATTTCTTACATGAACATTTTACTACTCCTTTATTTCACCTTGAATTCATGTAAAGGCCTTTATTATTTTTTTATCCACAATTGACATTTGTGATGCATGTGCACACATTTTGAGCAACATGCCAAACTGAAAGTCCTTAATAAGCAGCAGTAAAGTTTTGAAAGTTTAACCCAAATTCTCAGTAAGGTCACTAAGTGAAACAGGGTCAAGAGTTTTACAGCAACACCTAGATATAGCCTTCTCTGATATATTTGACTAGAAGGCTAGGATGAATCATTTCTAGGCCCCTGTGACCTCATAAACTTTGAGAAAGAAAATGCAGTTCATGGTTTCACTTATTTGTGAAGGGAATTTATTACTCCAAATACATGCTGATTGTCCACAAAGTTAAAACAATTCAAAAACTGGCAAGATGGGATGCACCAATCACTTCAACCTTAAACACTGCCCTCAACCATCATATGGAAATAGTTCTCACTAAATACTATGATTTATTTTGTAAAGTTTTGCATATATTTAAGTTGGACCATAATTTCTTAAAGAATAAATAAAGTACTTGTCTAAAACTGGATTCTTACAGACACTAAATACAAAGATCAGTACAATGCAATAGAAACTGTGATCTTAATTATGAGACACCTCAACAGAAGGAAATGCTGTAAAGATACTAAAAAGTAACAAAAGGTGTGACTGCCCCACATCACCAGATCTGTCAACATTTTCAGGCAAAATTAACACCACAATTCAAAATTTTATGACATGATCCCACAAGAGAGATCCTTAACATATAACATTCATATCATGTAGGACCTCTTAGTAGCTGAAAACAATCACTGATGTGCAATTGTACTGGCCTTATTATTCCTCTATTGTACTTACCCACAAATCTCATACTTCATTTATTTCAACATTGTTTTTGTTTTCAAGGATTACCATGTACAACTCAAAATAATATGCTAATTTAAAGTGGTGGAACATCTCTTTAAGGTATTACACACAAAAGCAGAATTTAAAGAGGTCCACCCTGGATCAACATTGCTTGAATGTGGTGAGGAATCGTCACACTGGACTAATAATTGAATAATAATATAATAATATATAATAAATAATAATAATAATTGAATAAGCACTTGTGTATTTTGACAATAAATAAGGCGTGTGACACACAGTATATGAAGTCAATAAGTAACGGTGAAAAACTACATCACACAAGAACAACAACAGTAACAACGAAGACAATGTTAAATACTGTATATGACCTTAACTCCAGCTGTTTTCAATGCCAAACTTAACCACTGAGATCTCCAATTGAAGGATAACAAGTGTCTCTCATCCTGGCCATTTACTGATGAGCAATAATACTTTTACCTCCATCCTGAGTTTGAAGTCTACTGAAAGCTTACCCAGAAGACTGCCACTACAGCCACTGAACTTGACTACATGAAACTGACCATTTTTTACCCATTTTCATTCCAAATTTTCCCCAGTGTGAACACAAACTAAGACACATGCATAAGGCAACAATTACTGAGATGAAGTGGACAACTCACTTAACAATAAGTACATGACATCTGCCACTTGGACAGGGAAGGTGTGCCGGCATCATCAGCAACAATTTGCAGTATGAAATAAAAATACTGCCACAGATGCATACACATTTGGACTATTTCGAGTCTAATATTGGCCTTACTTGTGTTGTCAAAAGAGAGGGTAACCGAAGTCCGCAGTGAATGCAATCAGGTTAACTGAATGACATGCCTCCTCAAGCAGCACAAGGAAGTTAACCACGCCTAGCTGCTAGAGGAGGCTTGTTTCAGTCAATCTGATTGATTCAGTGAGTCCTCGCAGAGTTAGGTCGATCCACTAAGGATGACAGTTTCACTGTGAATGCACCCTGTAACAGGGCTAGTGTGAGTGCTGCATGGCAACACAGTGTATAACTTGCACATTTCCATTTACTAGCCAACTCAAATGTCTTACAACTATGGTCATTTCTTTTGAATATAGAATGAGGTAGCAAGCTCACTAAACCCATGGATACAGATCTGTTCAATTCAGTTGGCTTCACAAAAAAAGAGAAAAGCATGCGCAGCAAGAAATTAAAGCTGGTTCTATTTAGAGTTTCTGTCCTCCTCCTTTCTATATTCTACTATATTTTACTTTGCAAACTAAACGTTGTGTGCTGAAAAGATCTCATTCACTTGCTGAGTCACGCGAATGAACGTTGTCCGTCTGCTCAGCTCCTTGAGTTGCCCCGCACCGACATACGTGCACGCTGATCGTATCCCTCCTAGGACGTCCAATACTGTGGGTTCTACGTCTCCTTTGTAAGGGATTTCTACTGTTTTCCCTTCAGAGGCTCTGAAAAGTACATAGCTTGTATATAGTGTGACATCATGTGGTGGATGCACTAGTATTCTTAGGCTCTTTTCACATCCAGCAGTACACTTGAGTGACACAGTATGAACTGGTACACTTCGAGAGATTGTCAATTTTAAAGTCTGATTATTGTGTAACAGAGTCGCATACACAGAGCCCCATGTTCAGTACAGCCAATAAATTTACTTAACTAAACAGCAGGAAGTGTACCTGTGGAGAACTTGTGAAAGCATGTAAAATCATAGCATAATCACATACTAGGACCTCTCAAGGTGAACTGATACAGACTGCATTACTGAAACATATCACTTGATGTGAAAAGAGGATTAAAAATTGAACTTCCAGTCAACCTGCACTACATGTAGCTTAATTAACAAGCATTTATCATCTCAGCAAACCATGTAATTAAAATTGCCAAACTTAAGTATCTACATGTACTCAATTTTTTGCACAAAAAAAAGACCCAGCCCTGAGATCTCAAAAAGCTGTTTTCATCCTATCACCTGTATTCTGCCACTCCTCCAGCATATTTCTTCATGGCGGTGGCCGAGCTCATCCCATAGAACAGCATATGCTTTTTGCCATTCTTCTCAATGAGTTCACCCCCTGACTCTTTGTGGCCTGCAAACATTCCTCCCAGCATGACGAAGTCGGCACCAGCACCAAATGCCTTGGCGACATCACCAGGACACGTACAGCCTCCATCCTGTTCAGATGAGAAGATGTTATGATATAAATATTCCACACAAATGATATTTTCTCAATGATTACACTGGCTACATAAATTGGAGAGAAATGAGGTGCACAAAGGATGACTCAACCCCATGTATCCGAATAAACATGAAAACCTTCGGGTCATATACCTGGTTTCCTCAAACACACACAACCAAACACTCAGACTTCTTAAACTTCATACTCACTAAGATGATGTGACCTCCCACCTCAAACACACAGAGACTTCTAAAACTTCCTACTCACAGAGATGATGTGACCCCCCCAAATCAAACACACACAGAGAGTTCTAAAACTTCCTACTCACAGAGATGATGTGACCTGACACCACAAACACACACACATCGACTTCCAAAACTTCCTACTCACAGAGATGATGTGACCTCCCAAGCCATGAGCAGCATCGGCGCACTCTATGACGGCACTCAGCTGAGGGTATCCCACCCCAGTCTTCTTTCTGGTGGTGCACACAGACCCTGGACCTATCCCAACTTTGATGATATCAGCCCCAGCCAGGATGAGTTCCTCTACCATCTCTCCTGTCACAACATTGCCTGCCTGCAACACAAGAACAAGACATACAGTGACAGTTTGATTCTCTCTGCTTTGACAAATTTGAGTTCTTTTTCCATTTCTTCTGTCACCACATTGCCTGCCTGCAACACAAGAATAAGACATACGTCATGGTAATTTTATTATTTCTGCTCTGGTAAAGGTGAGTTTTTCTATTCCACCACAATTTTCTTTTGTCAACAAGTTTATGCCTTGCAATAACAATTTATTTTATGCCAATCATCTGTTATCATCTGGTCCAGTAAAGATGGGTTCTACCACCAATTCACCTACATCATGATTGGAAAACAAAAACATTAAATATTATTTTTATCATCTGTTTCAGCAAAAGGGAGTTCTTCCACCATTTCACATGCTTCCCATTTACAGCCCACAATATCAGTTCAAAGATGAATAACATTCAATTCTGATAATCTCTACTGGGACAAAGACATACCACTTGGACATTTTTCCTGTCAATAAATTATCAGTTATCAACAAAAATAATATATAAATAACAATATGTTCATATTAACAATTATTTTGATATCTCCTCTAGCAAAGAAGAGATCCCATATCATCAGTGGACATACTCCAAGGAAAGAGCTACGCTGAGGTCATTTATATTGCATCAACACTAAATTCTGATAGAGTCTCCTCCATACTCCAGAGGCTATTTCCCATGTCACCTGTAATCACATTACAAACACACTGGGAGACAGCTGTAACAGAGCAAATAAAAGTAGTGTTAATAAATAAATAAATAAATAAATAAATAAATAGGAGAAATTTAGATGTATGGTCTGTTATGATACTCAGTTGTACATCAACCAAGAGCGACAAAAAAAGTTTGTCTTCACAAAATTGGAAGCTTCATGTATCAATTTAATTTACCAATTTACCACTGGTATGTTAAGAAATATCAATTTTATCTAGTAAATTAAGAAAGAAGACAATGTTTCAAAGTGTGTGTGTGTGTGTGCATGTGCGCATCAGGTTTCACATCACATTTGCATTCAATTTTGATGCCTAAATCTTCCACAGAGGCACACACACTCACACACACACACTATCGACATCTTACCATAATTGTATGTTGTGGCATCTCTCTTCTTACTTCTTTCACAAACTCCACAAAGTGTTCTGAGTAGCCATTGGCAACGTCCAGACAGATGTATTTCAAAGTCGGGATGGCCTCACACACTGCTTTTACCTTGTCCAGGTTACCCTGTGCCATTCCAGAACTGATAGCTACATTCTGAAAATACGATATCACAACATAATGATCACTCTGTAATGATATATGGAGCATATAATAACTTGGCTTTATTTGAAATAAATCATGCTGCAAGGAACAAGGTTTTGTTCCTGACAATTGAAAATCAATGCATTACTTTTTGATTGCAAGTTTGATTTTTGTCACAGAGAGAGAGAGAGAGAGAATGTGACTGGATATATTTGAAAATTAATATGAATCCCTTCTAACAAAATAATCATATACATGTTTTTAGAATTCACTGAAATCATATGGTTAATGGAATCTTTTAAGTTCTAGTCAAGTCCTCTACAAACCTTCATAATATGTGGGCATTCTTCAGAGAAGGCTTTCCATTCCTCCACAGAGTAGTGTTTGTGCACTGTAGTGAATACATCATGCTGGAAAAATTGGACATGATACTAGAACCAAATTGTGACAAATCAGTACCCTAGCAAGGGGGAGTCAAAACTGTTGAGTTGCCACAGAAACAGCAGATCAGCA